CTCCAGCTGTCATCAAGTATGGAGGCAAAACCATTGCTCTGCTGATTTTAAACGCCTTCACATTACACTCAAACAGTGAATATTTCTCTTCACAGTGCAAACACTCGACACCAGCACCTAAACACAAAGGTGGCTCAAGATCTCCAACGACGAAATATCACCCTATTAATAATACTACAGCAGCCTCAAAGGCAGTGAAGAGAATTGTCAACAATGGTCTTGTTCAATTCTTAACAAGATTAGATCTGAGAGGGTTTATGTGTTCTCCGAGCTGGGCAATTCTGTTGCAAACCTGATAAAAAAACGCACAACACGGCTTTCTCATGAAGCGGTCCTGGGTAACATGTCAAATACAATCCTACGACCACGTAACATCGGTTGCTGACAGTGGCATAGCGGTTAGTGTCATCTTACTGGACATGCACAAGACCTTTGCTGTTCGTTCTGCATTCTTACGAAGTCAGCAACCCATTGCTGAGCCGGTTTAACTCCTACCTAGAAGATCGGACACAGAGTGTTAAAATAGGCCAACAACTCTCCTCCTCGAGAAAAGTTACAAGCGGAGTTGCCCAAGGCAGTATCGTTGTACCACTACTCTTCATAATACATATAAATACCATATGTCATTCCATCAAACATAGACGATCATACCTCTTTTCGGACGACACCAAAATCGTCCACTCATTTCGACCCGGTAGCCTTGAGTCGATCCTTAAGAACAGACATGAGGACTAATCTGCACTGGACACCTGGGGTAAAATTTCATCCATGAAATTCTTCGCGGAGAAATCGCAAGCGCTTGAGTATGGATGCTGCATACCGGATGGCTCCATCATCTAACAAGTACAAACAGCCCAAACTCCTCTTCACTTAGGGACCTTGGAGTAATGTATTCCGCATCGCTGAACTTTTCCGAGCATCTATCATATCAGGTAGCAAAGGAAAGGCAATCGATAGCCTATTTCACCAAATCCTTTGTTCTACCTGAAGCGAGACTGGAAATGTTTAAGATTAGCGTAAGACCTATTCTGCAGTACGGCAAAATTATCTAAAGCCACCTGCGTAGAACCGATTGAATAGCTCTAGAAAACATTCAGCGTTCTTTCAAGAAACCCATTATTGGGCGGTACACAACTCTGAACTATGAAGACCGCTGTCGCCGCCTTCAACTAGACCCTCTACGGCTGCGCCGCCTGAGAAATAATCTAGTTCTTTTTTACAACATTACACATTGCCGGGTGTACACGACCGGAGTAGATTTTAAATCGCAAAATTCCTTAACCTATCCTACAAGAAAGAGGGGTTACGCACTACCCGTAAAATAGAGGAACGTAAAGATCCGCTCCAACTTCTTCCTAGGAAGGTATGTTCACATATGGAACAAGCTACGGTTGAAAGTACGGGCAAGTAAGAACCGAACGAAATTTAGAACGAAGTTGGGAGCCTTTCTCAACATGCAGAACATAATGAAAAGTTTCCGCCTTCAAGTGTCTACAGATGTGTTAAATTCATCAGGTCCAAACAATATATGAGCAATAATGCAAGTTCACCACACTCCAGAATACATCAACTTTATGATCGAATACGCCACCCTTGAAATCCCACTTGTAGGTGGAGGAACAAAAAGGTTTATCTCTTGTTTTATCACACATTCGTACGTTGTAAACATTCTACTGTCCTATGGTATCCAGATAATTTGCATCACCTAGTGCGTATTGAATGGGAAGCCAACTTATTAATAACGCTACCAGTTATTCTAAACTGTTGCAATATTTTATCACACCCAATCATATGGCATCCCGCAATGTCGCGAGACGTGCTATTTGGCTGCTTATTTCGTTGATATTTCTACTCCATAATCTAACTATGTCATCTTATTTTCCTGTTATGCTGCTGGGCACGAGTGAACTGATCTAGGTGATGGTTTGAAGCTTCTAAGCAACATGTATACCCACGCCAAAAGACCCACTGGTGAATATAAAAAGTGCTAAAATTTAAAAAAAGGCAGTCCAATGTGAATTGCTTGTTAGGACAATAGCTATTTGACATACAGTTCTTGTGAAGGTGCTTAACAGCCATACTTTATTCTTCCTATTTTCTACTTCTTGACTGTTGTTTAAACGCTCCACTGTGTTAGCCCGATTGGTACACACACATCTTTGTCAATGGACGCTCACCTCCGTGTCATCTTCAGCAGTGCCATTTGCAAGAACACATTCCATTGGTTTCTCTCCGCAACACCTTTCTACTTGGTTATGCTAAAGGAATAGTTAATTGTCACACCACTATTGTTTTTAATTTTTAGGTCCGCACTTCTTATTCTCGTGATTTCGTAACATTTGTTTAAACGCTACATTTCGTTATTCTGATTGGCTGGTGCCCGTCACTGTAAATGGATGTTCGCTTTACGCTTGGGGTCCCATGATGCTATTTTTAAGGACATATGGGATTCGTTCTCGATTACACGGTTGCTTATTTGCCCGTTGCACTTAACGTTTTACTTCTGTTGGCTAGCTCGGGTAATTTAGTAGCTTCCCTTCACTTTGCCTTCAAAACTATATAGGCAAATGTGACTTCATGTATACAAGTCTCTTTCTGGCACGCCTTTCGACTTCATGCGGTAGTGGGATGAAGCCGTCAGTGGCGACACAACACTGCTGAACTCACACTTAATGGCATATAAGGCAAAAAAACATGAATGACGAAAGGGCTGACTGGTCAGAGTAACTAGCTCAACAGAAAAAATACAATTGCCCAAATAATGAATAAAATCGGTAGTGGCCAACATGCTTTTAAGCCACACCGGTGTGGGTGAAACCTCCCGAGGGACTATCCCGCATGAAAGCAGGTCACCGGGAGACGGTTCACGAATGACCGTAGTATTTCACTTGCTTTTTCTTACCCTACTTCATTCTGCACTGAATCTGTTGGGCTCCTGGATCCTAGTTACTTCATCTCTACCGTCCTACTATCTTACCGACATTACACGTTAACGTATTTCTTAGTCCATAGCCTCGCTCTTAGTTGTGGTGCATTTCCTCTATATCTCTAAATCAAGAACCGCACTTTCCTAATCACCCTGTCTTTGGCATCTTCTACAATACTACGAGCCACTGAATAAGCCCTGACTGCAATAAATATGCGCTTATTTCTTTGTCTACTTACCCGTTTAAGTCTCCCTTTACAACATTACCTTTATCGTGCATGGTCATTTACGCCCTAACTATCCATCTACAAGTGAAGGCTGAAAGTAATGCAACTGAGCTCAACTAGCATCTCAACCATCCGGCAGCCAAAACACAACTTGATTTGTTCAACTCCAGAATTAGAGCAGACAATGTATAGAAACTACGCTATGCCTTAAATCACTACGATGGGAGTACTGGCTATAGTATTCCGATAAAGCAACTTCTCTGATAATCCACTAGAGTTACCTTAATATAGTATTTTCCTTATTTTCGCAACTCCCTAACTTGCTACTCACAAATAGCTCCAACTGTACTACTCCAGTCTATTAAGCAAGATTGTGTATTACGCAGCTGATTTTGATTGGTGAATCTAACTGTTTCATCCTTTTCGTACTCCTTCCCCTCCGCATCAAACCGCCGCCATCATGACATCACCAAGTTGCACCGGAAAAAACCAAATGAGAATGCCCGTGAACTGGTAGCATACGGCGACAAAAGCTTCAAATGAAAATATTCGCAAAAACATCTCTATAGTAAACCCTGTAAAAATTTAACCAAGTGACAGCCTCGCATGTCTGAGCATGTTGCAATGTAAATATGGTCCGTCCCTTTGTGTGCTCGGTCCCTCGGTAACGCGAGGAATATACCTTATTAATATTATTATTATTATTATTAGTATGCGTTTAAAAACGGATGATTACGGTAGCAATCCCAGTAAAGACGAAAAGTATGCTTTTGATCAAATCTAAGTAGCGGAGATCTGATCTAAGTAGAATGCTGAGTGTAATAAGCCTGGTGAGAGTTGTTGTCCATCTTACTGAGTGTTTGCAACTAGGCAATGATCAAAATGGTTCGCGAATCCAATACAATACTGAGTGATTGAGAGGACAAATGGTTACCGCGTATGTCAATGAAAGATCGAGTACGAGATAATACACGGGATCCACGGATGGAAAACGCAAGCAGTTAGTAGGGAGTGGCAAAGCCATTAAAAATCCTGAATGCCTTCGATGTGCGGATTCGGTGGGAATGTTGGATAGAATGCGTGCAATCCAGTTGGGTGGTGGTAGTCTATAGACACGAACAAGTTATTTTGAGTAAGTCGTAAATTTAAACGGAAATTGATGAATTACGAACAAAAAGCAAGCTAATCGTTCAATATGAGTGAAGGATAGGTGTATGACAGCTTGACCGTTGGAGCGTTCTGAGTGAGCGATTTCCGTGAACCCTTGTCCGCCCCATTGAGACACTTTTTGGTTACACAGTGGTCACTGAAAAGTTACCGGCTCAGCTTTAGCGCATGCCGTCGATCCGTCAACGCTCGGCGGAAATCGGCTTCCAAAGCCTTCTAACATCATAGTACATAAGACCATGCTCAAAATCTTTTGAGTGATCAATTCGCGACCGAAATGTGCCTCACTGGGACATCCAAGGGCACACAAACCGGTCACTTAGCTGCAGCCTATCGGACACTCGCGCAGATTGGGTATGCGAGTATGATAAAAAGGAGCAACCTATAGGTTAACATGTAATGTTACATTTGGATATTGCGCTATTGCTTCCTTCGTTTTACTCATACGAGTGACCGTAAACACGACCGAATGGTACGGCAGTTCGTCCATCCATATCGCAAAGAAGTGCAAACTAAAATCAAAGGCAAAACGAAGAATAGAAATCCGTCGGATTGTGTCTACTTGACTCAGACCAAGAGGGAAAGAGTAACGACTTTAAACAACGCGAATTCTATGCAAACGGACAATTCCACAGACCATGCACGCTGCTAACACGGGCAAGGCGTGAACTGCGACTTACTCTGAGCGTGTTTATCTCCCCATTATGCGCGATCATTCGCTGAGGATGGGCTCGACCCCAAGAGGGCAATGTGTTTGTGGAGAAGCGATTGTGAACCATGGCGAAGTGGGTGTAATAGTCTGGACTTTGCAAATCGCGATAGTAGGACCAAAGCTGTTTCGTAGTAAACATTCCCTGAAATGAAAAAGGTGCATAAACTGGCAATACGACAGTATGATTTGGTGAACCAGTAGATGGGTGATTCTGTGGTCAGGATGAAATGACACGATCGCTTGGATCAAGGGACACATTGTTTGCAGACCCCAATGAAGAGTTAGTAATATGTTTGCAGCTAAGTCTCTAAAATAAAATGGTAGACGGGACTAACTGCGCATTGACATAGAGTTGAACCACGAAAGCTAACACAGACCATTGCTTCGCGCTGTGAAAAAAACATCACGTTGTTTTCAATCAGGAATTGAAGCAACTTCGAACTGAATAGGTAGTGAGAAAAATATGCATAAATTTCCGTCAATCGGCTTATTAGAACAACTGAAACCGAAGTTAGAATGTATACACACACACACACACACCCAGTGAATCGGGTTCAAGAGCAAACAAAAGAAAGAGCTGTAGGGGTGACATGAACGAGGCTCGGTTGGATAACCGAACCGCAGGGCAGCGAAGACACGATGCAACATGTGCGAGTTGCTTTTGACACTTGCCTAATGAGACGATGATCATGCACAATTTAGGAACTAATGACGTTTGTCCTTCAGGTGCAGTAACTGATGGTCGAACAGATATTAAGCGTAAAGAAAAGACTTGGGGGTAAGGACTTCAGCATGTATCCCCAACGTCCAAGGTTTGGGTCAAAGTACTAGTACACTGTGCAACAACAAAATATTTATTTTCCATAACAGAAATGCCAATGCCCCTACCTTAAAGAATAGACTGTACTGATCGTATAAATGTATGTCGATGTTATCTAGTACGTCACGTTGCAATGTTATTAGCAAATGACTATTTTCAGTAATCTCAAGGCTACGTTATACGAAGTATATGTAAATATAGTGAATCACAACATATACGGAATGCAACTATGTAGCAAAAACGTTTAAAACATCACTGTAACACTCGCCGCTAACTAGTGACTGTAGCTTGGCACTGAGAAACCTTGATTTCGCCGAGATCGGCGCTTGTATGATCCAGCGCCCACAGGCTGCAGAAACCAGCAAAGGTCACCAACCGTAGAAGGCGTGTGCATGTCTCTGTAGCGTTGCTCCGTGACTGAAATGTCTTGGTGAAAGTACTCACCATGCTCATCGCTGACAAATACCAAGTTCTCGGGGAAAAGTCCAGGGGATCATGCAAAAAATGCATCTTGTGTGAGCATCAACAGCCCGATAGTCCGCAATGAGCTTTTTGTGATGTCTTTGTAGTTCTCTGCCGTTGTTCTGTCCCAAAAATCCTGTACACACTGTCTTGAATGATCACCACACTTCTAAGTCACATGAACTCAAATGGCATTCGAAAGCACTGTAGGACATTACCCGGTGAATGATAGGCCCAATAACTATGTCTTCTTTGAGCTCCGCATCACTGACCTTCGGTAACACTTATTTGCAGTTTTATGAACGCAAATCATTTCGTTTGACGGCTTTGATGAAGTTTTTACTCAAATCAACCTTGAAGTGCAGTGGTGATAGATATGGTCAAGTTGCACAAAAGGTGTATGCATTACACTGATTTTCCCTGCAGCATACTTCTTCTCCGACCGCTTTTTAGTTGTGTAGTGATAAGTTGGGCAAAAAACGCAATATTTTGGGAAGTCTCCTTGTATATCCAAAATAGTGCAATTACTTTGAAGTCAGCATAGATGTTCCAATAGTACTTATCGTAGTTCAGTGCAGGGAGTATCTGTTGCATACTTTGTTAAGTCTCTTTCATATTGGTGGCAAGCAACAGAGGTAAAGTTTGGTACACACTTCCATTGTGGAGCAGTATGGTCTCAAGACTACGGTTGGAGGAGTCAATGAACCAACGCTACTCATCAGTGATATGCCTCACGCCAAGCTCATTCATCAACCCTTCCACATCGGAGCAGTAACAGAGTGCAGGGATGGGAGAGAGCAACACCGAAACCCTCCACTTCGGTGACGGTCTTAGTGACCGTATTGGCGGAGGCTGACTTCAAAGTCAACCGACGCCACTAGTGAGATTGCGGGTCGCAATCCAGGACACACGGCGGGTGCTCCAAAAAACCCGAAAATCCAGTAACAAAATGCTTTTCTCGTGTCATAGAAACCGCCCAAAGTAACACTTCGTTTTCGGTATACAGTAACCTTAGTGTGTGTAGTACGCAAGGTTGCAGCCCAGATGCCACCAACTCGGCCTCGTCTTTAGGCAAACCCAGTTCATGTACCAAGTCATTCAGCTCTGTTCAATAAGATGTGGGTTGACAACATTAGCTTCAAAATTTTCACAAATGTCGGAAACAGGGGAAGTTAGCGATGCGAAATCATCTCTTATCATCGGTGACATACTCACTGGAGGCACTGGAATGGGTAAGGTGCAATTCTGTGGAACAGATCAAATAGGTAGTGGAAGATCTGGGTAATGAATTTTGCCCGTGTTTCGGTTGGAGACTCCAATGACACAGGTTAGGCAGAAGTGGCAGTTTGTCGTGTGATCCTTTGGCTCTCTCCACACCATGGTGAGTGCAAAAGGCATCTTGCCTTTGCCCTTGAGCCACTGAGTCAGATGAAGATTGCATGACACAAACTATGTGAGGCGCCCATTTCTTATCCTGATCTCCCAGTTTCATCCCGAAGTATGTGTGGTAGGCAGACTTCAGTAGTGAAGAAATGGGTCTGCACTGCGAGTTTGTAGTAAACTGTCTACAGGTGTAACCCAAATGATTTCGGTCATTGACACAGCAACGCCTTTCAGCCATGATCAAGATATCAATTAATGAAACACAGCTCTCAATCGAGTTTCAGTAACAGGTGGATACCATGCCCAAGAGGATTTCTTTTCGACGATTACAGGGAGCCAATGGACTAATCACAGGCGAGCACTCAATGCATGGAACGCACTGCTTAGCTGAAATTGAACAAGAACCCGACGTGATTGTATTATTAGTACTGTATTTAACACTTGTCTAATAAATATTTGGCAGAGTGCCACAACACATGAGTAACAATAACTGTAAGGAGAGAGTGAGTCAGAGGAATAGAAGCAAAGTTCCATGGGTTGTGTGGGCATAGAGCTTCCCGGTTGCCCAGCCCGAGGAAGAGTGTTGACTTAAGGGACCCCACCCCGAGCAGGGTGATTCACGAAGACTGTTGACAGCCAAGTGGCTCATTCGCCTTCGGAAACAGTCCACAGAGAAACCGGTGGCCAGCAAGGTTGTTCATCCGCCCTGCGTTAGCTACTCACTCCCACTTACAGGTGTGAGTGGTCAGTGACTCTATAGCCAGTCACGTTGGCTTCGACACAGCACAGTACGAGCTCTAGTGGTATTTAATGGAGAACCAGGTGACCAGCCCAGAACTCCCCACGGTCTGAGACGCTGCCGCTGTATATTCGTAATCAGACCACTTGGTACTACTAGAAACATCCTATCTCATTTCTGTTATATAAATGATGTTGCAGAGTGTTACTTGACCCTGATGAGTACAAATCAGTACAAAATCGGTCGTGTGGTGCAGTGTCACCCTTAACAGTTGCCAGTAAAAGGCAGTGTTAGCGAACGTATGTTTTCGATTGTTCTTCTTCAGCTTAGTACAAGTATATAACAATCAAATCAAACAGACAGACTGTTGAGGTCGTAAAAAAGAGATAAAACTAGTGTTTAGCAGAGGTCAACCATCGCTATTAATCAGGTCAATTGTCTGGGCTTGCACGTGGTCCAACTGAATAGAGGTCACAATTCTATGAGGCCAGGGCAGCCGTAAGGTCTGAATGAATCGCCTCTGAATGCAAAGATTCGGTTCGTGCAGCCGAATTACGATAGCTTCAGCGGCTTCTAGTATCAGTTTGCGCGTGTACTTCGATTCATTATCAGGGACATTGTAGATAATTTTGAATGTGTCGGCTGGTTTAGAGTTGTGTCTTGTGTCGGGGAGGTGGGCAGCTATGGAGGAGTTGCATAATCTTCTGATTCCAGCCGCCGACCATGCGGGCCGGTGGTTTTTCACTCTCTCGGATACACCAATGTATACTGCTCCATAGAAACAGGTAAATGAATAGAGTTGTATTGGACAGGTTTACTATCGTTGAGACTGAGCTTCACCATCGGTGTGCTGGTGCAAATCTGTAATTTTGCTGCTAGGAAGATAGGTCTGAGCTCCTGTGATGGTTGAGAAGTTCGGCCGTGACTTCGCCTTCGTATGGAAGTTGTTAGCAGTAAGCTTCACGCGCCACGAACGCTGCAGTTTGGAGCAGTATCGTACAATAGTTCGCATAGCACAGTGAGTAAAGAACATCGGCAGACAGGGGTGGTCGGAAATGTGTACCGGTGTCAATCTTATATGCCGTTGGTCCCCAATCAACTCCGACATGCGGCATTTCGTGACGGCGGTTGCATGGAAACTCGCACAGCCTTAGAACTTATAGCATGGGCATCAAGGAAAGCAGCTGATTGGACAAGCGAATGAGGACTGAGCAGTAAAACGCAATTCGATTGAGCTCTTTAGGTGAGATGACGGCACCAGGTTCCGTTGCGCTGAAATGGCAAAGACAAACAATGAGCCGCTTGCCTCGGAGCTTACTTGGATCAACCGGGCACAGCGTGGGACTTAAGTGAGACAGACGCGCGCACTCATTCAACGGTAGTGGTATACCTTATGGTGGAAGAGGGTATGCCCGGTCAAGTTCGTCAAGTTCGTTCTGACTGCACACGATATGTTTCAAATGTTGATAATAACCTCGGATACCCAGGGTCGAACCCAATGAGAATCGGCGGGAAATGAAATGAAAACACCGAGTGGGTCATTAAAGTACTATGGTTTATGCTAACATGAAACAGTGGCACCATACACTTAGATATGAAAATAAGCCGAGATTCTTAATTAAATTCGACACGTCTGACTGTTCTATGTCATCGTAAGACTAACGCTGCCTACTGTCTGACCAATCGGGGCGAAATAAAGAAAAAGGAACGGGCTCAGTAGGTAGTTACCAGGCTCATGCCCAATTTAAGGGGCATTTCGTACGAAGATTGATGCAGGAAAGTAGAGCTATACACCTAATCTTACCATCCGTTTCGAGCTGACCTCATAATGACCTATCGGATACTACACCTAGGCAACTTCCTCAAGCTAAGACCGCTGCTATACGCGCGTGTGTCACAGCACATTTGGACACCGGTGCAAGTGTGTAATACCGAATCAGAAGCGAGTAACTCATCCTCTATGTTTCGAGCGTCAGGTGGTGAAGTCTCGGAAAAGTTTGACAGGGACAATAGTCGGTGCAAAGTAGGTGTCTGAATTCAGGGAGTTCCAAGACGCTTGGTTTGCAGATTATGAATTTAGAAAGCGTATAGCATCTAAAAAGGACAGTGTACAACTGTAATAGCTTGAAAAAATGCGGAAATTAACATATTTACGAGTGCGTGCGTGCTCTACCGCATATCGATGGAACAACACAAATGCACATCTTATCGCTTTCAACTTCCAGTATTTGGTACGAACAGTGTTAAAGAATGGGTGTTCCAAACTCTGGTTGCAGTCCGGCGGAGGAGCAGGGGAGAGGGAAATGAGTCAAACATAGTAGACAGCTTATGCGAGCACAAACAAACAAGCTGAATGGATTCATTCAGAGAATTGTTTTAATCATTCGCTAATTTGGTCTCCCATTCATCTTCACAATCGTTTAGTTATGCAAATAGAATGTTGTAAGTGGACAGACAAGGAAAAGGAAAACGCCCGAGGGCACCACGCATGCGAAGTTATTTCGGGTATTCAGAGCAGAATCAAGCAGGGGGTTGTGGCCGGCCAAGCGCTGCTGCCAGAGAACACAGTGGGCGCAGGAAAAACAGAAGCACGCCCCCCCATTCTTCAGTGATAACATAGCTAACCTTGTAAACGACAGTGTCCGGAGATAGGCTGCAGATGTAGCAGGTGTCACCGAGTTGATGGCTGGCATATTTTCTGAGTACGAAAGTCTAGTTTAGAGAAATGTAAGAGTGAAAAATTCATTAGTACCATAAGTAACCAGAGATCACAATACCGAACTCAAAGTAACAAGGAAACGCCGCAAAAACAGTCTGTTTTTTCCAATTGAGAAATGTATGCTATCTGAAATTGAGAAACAATTCAAGCGTGCGCACCATCGCACTCGACACAACCAGTGCGAAGGTGGGGAAATTCTGGGTGTTGCTCAAACAAGACGTAGTCAGTAGACAAAACACTCCGTAGGTCAAGTGACCGTGTCCTGAGGAGCCGTACGGAACCGGCGGATAAATATGGACTCAGAAGCAAAAACCAAAGTCTACCGCCAAACAACATGTTATGATCTTTGAAAAACGTGAAAAGTCCATTTAGTGGTGTGGACGGATGGATGGAGTAAACATGGGTAAAGGGAAATGATCGAGCCAAGAGTGTCAAACCGAGTGTTTCTACACTATCACCATGAGTATCAGTCTGACACGCTCCTGCGAGCATTCTTACATGAGGAAGATACACTGCAAGGATACACAGTGAGAGAAGTGGGAGACCCAGGGAAAGAAGCCAAGCGGTAATTGGAACGATATTAATCCAACTGTGGAAGGCCAAGCAAATTTGAATGAATATTCGCAAAACATAAGAGCGGAGTGTCCCAGGGGTACACGCAGGATTGTTCGGTCAGAAGCATTCAAAGTTGCTTTAGCTGAAAACAAGGATAACAGATACATCTATTCGAAGTATGGTTCAGTCAATCCCAGCATCCGAATAAGAATGCAGCCCTGGAAAATACGTTTCTAAAAGTCAAAAAGATCTGGATACACAGTTAGGTGGAAATGATCTGAAAGAAGATTACATGCCACGAGAAACTACAGAAGGATGGTAAATGCTCTTATTGACTGCCTCTTAATCAATGAGCCTTCAGTTGGTCTGATCTGAGCTTCCGCTGGCGCTAACGGCACGGGAACGAGATCGAATGGCTTTTATGAAAAGCTACTCTGACGGAGATCATTCACGTCCATACTAAAGTTGGATGGAAAGTTTGAAGTTACCACGCATTATGTCTGCAGGTTTTTAGGTCAATAGTTCCATAGCTACTTTCGGGCGGATCGACTTGAGTAGTGCAAACTAAGTCAACATTCGTGCACAGATACGTGCAGATACAAGGAAATCCCGGTGAACAAATGTGCTTACAAAGCATTCCATCGGTCATGGTTACTTTTTCGACGTCAGGTTAACCACGTTGAGCGACGTTGGTAGTGCATTACAATGAGGAAGATCGAGACAATGGAGAAGCGAACTACAAAATCCCACCAATCACCGGTTATGTTGTACCTATCTTGTTCTACCCAGCCTCCAAGTGACTTTCATTAACAGGTTCTCAAACAAAAAACAATACCGGGTGCCCACGGCTGTGTATTCGTAGTGGGTACAACTAATTCTATCATCACATGATTGGCAGTATACGTTTTCGGGTTTAGCTATCACGGTGACTGGTAACGGCTACGGGACACCTGTGCTTACAAAGGGACCATGGTTGGTTGGCGCTTCAATGTTCATAGTCATATCCACATTGCCCGGGCCAAGTTTAAGACGGAAGTAATAAGATCGGAATGCGTATGAATGGGAGCCAGGAGTAAAGTAGAGGCATCTGAGAAGATATGTGTGACAGACATGTAGTAGCTGGGTCGTAACCGGTTCCATGATAGAAGCGTTCCCCTTGAGCCCAGCATTACCACAAAGACTATGCAATTCACCTCTCCTAGCGGCGAGAATAGCATTTTGGAGTCTGCAATCGAGGTGGTGTCAGATGTTGATATCAGATGGCTAGGAGCCAAGTTAAAGCCCGCGTCAAATTCAACCAGGCCCGACAATTCAGTAGGGGGTAAACATTCAACACATGCCAATCACTCTGTTAAAACCAGAGGGAAGCGATAAGGCGCAACGCGTGATTCATCTGCCCAGCAGCAGACGTTCGCTTAGGGAGAGCGCGGGGCCGATATAACTAGCCAACACACATACAAAACTACATACACGGTGGTCCATTCGTGAGAGCTACCAGAAAAGCAAATGAACACGTAAACAACATTCACAACCTGAACCTATAGCCAAGAGTACACAATCGGTTCTGCGAAGCTATGTGGATAATTGCGCACTATATACGTGGTACGAGCCACCGTATTGTTAGGTGGTACCTAGTGCCAGATTTAGTAGGTTGATAGTTCTTCACTGGTCCACACAAGACATCGCTTGTCATGTGGCGGTTTGGTCCAACCCGATGTGGGCATGTCAATGAATTATTGTAGACAATAATTCCCCCACCTCGTCGGTTTCAAGACTAACGCCAAAACCACCCCCACAGTGTACTAGGTCGTATGGTCCGAACCTCGTTGGTCAGGCGTGGGCCCACTCTGATTCTTTTCACTAAGCTAATCGATTCTAGTGGATCAGAAAGCAAAGTAACAAAGCTCGGACGGAATAAGATCAGTCACCGACTGCTCATGCGAAGTTAAGAAAACCGTAATGTTCCCATCGCATTTGCGCATACAGAAACTGCAGTACAATTTTAATTGTAGGTTGCCTCATTAGGACGAGTAAAAGCGATGGAACCGATCCAAGGACCCTAGCAAACGCTTCAATCGGTGGAAATTGCGAGTAATGTATGCACTTTGGTGTGTCCTGTTAATGATAGCTGTAAAGGATTTTCACATTAGCTCTACCGAGTACCTCGCTTAGCCAGTGCATCCAGAGTCATCAGCAGTTGAGAGTCTCTCCCGCAGGTTAGTAGTATTCGCGGTAACATAAGCAATACGACACAGGCGACTACTATGAAAAAGGGAGTAACGAGGCATTAGGAAAATGAAAAAGGATGCAAGCTACTATTCCGCCTTCGCAATAACAACATTTTCCACTGAAGGCACTCACTCTAGTACCAGATGGGCATGGGCTAATTCGCATGGCGGCTGAGTTGCATGTTTGAGGACCACAACACCAAAAAGTTCAACATGAGGTCCATTAGCAACACAAGATGCATAAGGCGAGTTATTTGAAAGAAGGAGGATCAGAGATGCCAGCGCACACAACTCACCTGGCCGCGAAGAGATTTGCCAATTTTTGTCTCATTTTCATGTTTCTGAACGACGAAAACCTGCACGCGTATTTGAGAGAAGGGAGAGGGGAGACACAGCAGAGTACAGTACAGCATCCGTGGAGTCACAAGGATGTCTGGGACTCAATTAGCCCATTTCAGTTAAGGGAAGTAAATGTTATCACGAAATAATCACGTAAAAGGCGGGAGAGATGTGACTGTCTCAGAATAATAATGTATACGGCGACAAAACAATTCTCCCATGATACTAAGTGAAACAGACAGCTACGGAAATTGGACAGGAAATACGACGCTGTAAAGTGGTTTTTTGTCGCATGGTGCACAAAAGAATGTCGGAAAGAATGACAAGCAAAGCTCAAAGGCAGAGCAAAATCCAGAATGCGACAAATTTGATCTGCATGAAACGAAAGCGGTGTCTTATTGAAAACTACTTTAGGACACAATGTCAATAGACTACCACTCCTCAGTCGGGTGGAAAGGACTAACGGAAAAGCGCTTGGTCGCCAAAAATAACAGTGTTTGTACAAGACAGCGTGAACGGAAATGCAGCCTACCAAACAAATCGACATTGATCACTTTCATCCGCATTGAAGGGCATCAAGGCCGGTGGGCAGAGAAAAATAGTTTGTATCATAGGTAGCTGTGAATAGCGCTCGTTATGTCTAACCCCGATCAGTTCCCGCTGAAGAACCTGACTGAAATTGCTACTGGTAATTCATTAAGAATGAAAGGGATAATCCGTCTGGCCGTTTCTTGGTAATTGTAGTTAGATGAGTTAGCAGTGGATTCGACTTCAGTCAAAATAAGTGTTATTGCTTTCGCATATTGTTAGTTAGTCCCAAAGAGGTGCATACACACACCAGGTAATACAAATTCTTACTCGCCTTATAGTGTCAGCAAAATGGATCCCAAGTACCACCCCGCAAATAGTTTACATACTACTGAAAACTTTAGATCAAACAAGGAGATATCCCAGGTTGATTATATATATATATATATATATATATATATATATATATATATATATATATATATATGCGTTGGTATTCGGTTTCGGATTTACCTGTCACTATGACCTCTACAGAACAGCCACAGGTTGACTGCCTACAGCGCGACCATGGGTGGCTTGCGCTGCACCACCCACAGCTCCAACCACACACCCCAGATCCAGTGTAAAACCGAAGGAATAAGACCGGGAGGCATGCGGATGGGAACCACGTTTCATCAACGGAGCCGGCCCACACTCCTTCACAGGCAAACACAAGAACACTGTATTTGGGGAATCAAGCGCACACAAGGCGGTGGCTGGACCGTAGTCCGCTCCACACTGAATGCATGGAACCACTCTTCGAGCCTAGCACGACCACAAGCACCGTGCACCCCGTCCCCTCCAGCAACCACCAACTGTCTCCTGAAGCCAGTATGGACGAGATAGTGGGTAATGGACAGGTAGGCACCTTGTCAACATGCACATCAAGCGCAGCCACACCTGGGATGTCAAACAACAGCCAATCACTTGAGAGGACGATATCAAATAACATAAATCGAATAATGCATACAGATATGCTGAAATAATTTAAATAAACGAGCATATGAAATAAATTGATTGACAACAAATCCGCGATAAGCTCAAGAGATCAGAAAATATATAGTAGGAAAATGCCACAAACGCGAAAATATCCAAGTTAACCAAAGTAGTTTAAGGGGCGTGTGCAAGTTTATAGAAGATAGTTCAGGTAGACATTTATATGAGATAAAAAATTATTAGGAAAATATAACAAACCCACCACCTGAAGTAAAGAGACTCAGCATGCAAACACGTGGTTAGTAAATCGAATGCAGCGTACCTACAAACGCTGCACCGGTTCTGCCTACGTTCTCTGCAGGACCCGTCGTCGTTTCGGTGTTGTTCCAGAGTGGCCTAGCTCATGGCTCACTGGGCCTGTCTGACTCAGGCACTCGCAATCGCATATGCTACAGCCCTACGCGCTCGATGTCGATGGAGTACAACCCGCCGGCAACTGTCGCTCCGCAACTGACGTTTCCTCTCTGCATGCACGATGGATTTCTCTTGCACCTCGGCAACGGTCATCGTGATCAGATCGCACCATGCACGCTGATCAACCGTTTTCGATTCCCAACAACTGAAATCAAAATTACAATGTGGTATGCTCACTTTGACCATGTCCGGCAACAAAGCTTCGGTTTCCCCATATGCCGCTTCACATATCTCAGCTGGCCATTTACTAGCCGCTTCGGTATCCGCGTCAAATCAATACGGCTCATATAACCTCAAGTGTCTCAGCAAAAGTATGCAGTCCACTGCATACATTCCACTTCGACGCAACACTTCCGTGTCCGCAACTCTGTCGCACCAACCAATGCGCAGAATCCGACGCAAACACAGTTGATGGAACCGCTTGAAATATCGCACATCCCGACGGTACATCATCCACGTTTCACTGCCGTAAAGAAGAACGGACAGCACCATGGATTTATACACCACCAGCTTCGCGCCAACCGTAAGCTGATGGTTGTTCCACACTCGGTACTTCAGCTTCTCGAATGCCGAAGCGGCTTTCGAGACGCGGATACGCAGCTCAATGCGCATCTGCTGGTCAGTCGCCATCACACTCCCAAGGTAACAGAGGCGGAAGGTGGTCTCTATTACTTAAGCACCAATGCGGATTCGTGGCACCAATGCGGATTCGTGGCACCAATGCAGATTGCACCTTCAGGGAAAACTGAAAGCTACAGACAGTTTTGCTTGTGTTAATGGTGAGCCCGAATTTGGCCGCTGTCGAAGCCATAGCACTACTCATGTGCTGCAACTCATCCGCGCTGTGTGTAAACAACGCACAGTCGTCAGCAAACATCAACATACGGATAGTTGTCTCACAGACTAGAGCTTTCGCACGGAAACGACGGATGTTCAGCAACCCACCATCAATACGGTGCCCCGCACGAACACCGTAAGCACAAGCCGCATCAAAAGTACTAGACATCATTGTATGAAGATAAACGTTAAAGAGAGCAGGAGCTGAGACACAGTCTTGCTTCACACCAGAGCTAACTACAAAGTCATCCGAGCTCTGTCCACTCAGTTGCACCCTCGCCCGCATAACAACACTGCAGATATTCAGTTAAAGTTACAAACTTACGCAAGCAACCAAACTTACCCAACACCAGCCACAACGCTTCTCGGATCACCATATCAAATGCTTTGGTGAAATCAACAAAAAGTGAGTACAATGGCTGATATCGTTCGCCACATTGCGCAGCAACTGACGAGCCGCAAACACCATATCTATAGTGCTGCGATCCGAACGGAATCCACACTGCTCCTCCGCCACTTTAGGTTCCACAACCTGACTGACGAGGCGGTTGAGCAGGATTCAGGCAATCACCTTGCCCATACAACTCAGCAAGTTGATACCACGATAATTCGTGCAACATTGCTTGCTCCCTTTGCCCTTGTACAGTGGTAGCACAAGGGCATCCTTCAGCTCAGCAGGCACTTCCTACTCGACTCATACGCGTTGCACCAAGTGGTGCAGCGCAGTAACCAACGCGGGTCCGCCGTGCTTCAATACTTCGGGCGAGATCCCGACGGCACCGGCACACTTGCCGTTTCGCAGATGAGCAAATGCTCTCTGCGTCTCATCCACTGTCGGCGTCTCCGCGAGACTCGCCTTTACAATGTACTGCTTCAGGCCGTTCATAATAGGCAAGTTGATCTCTGAATGGTTGTTTAAGAGACAGCCAGTATTTCTATCAGATCAGCATTATGTCTGCGGTCTGTGCACAGGTAGCGCCCGAACCACCATCGATCAGCGTCCTCAGTGGCTCCAACCTAGGTCCATACACCGCCTTCAAGGAGTCAAAGAATTCCTTACGTTGGCGACGTTCGGCGTAGTATTCCATCTGCTTCGCCTTATCCGTCCACCATGCATTTTTATGCGACGGAGCTCTCGGGTCAGTCGCCGTCGAAGTTTGCGAAAGTGATTCTTCTTCCCCAAAACACTGGGGCCCACCACGTGTGCAGCAAATGCTGCATTCTTCTCAGACACCAATCGTCGCATTCTTCTCATCAAACCAATCAGGCCGCTTACAGTTTGCGCGCCCGATGATCTCCTCGGCAGCAGCTGCCATCTGGTCGCGAATGTGGTGCCACAGGTCGCCCACTGTGGCTATGTCTTCCACATCACACAGGCGTGCGGCCACAGCCTTCTCCAGCTTAATACGTTTCTTCACAGTACCGAGGGAGAGGATGTCAAATTTATGCCGATTCATGGCGGCAGTGCAATACATAGATTTACGAAAATATATGTCCCGTTTGGTTCACGCCAATTTGTGATCAGTGCCACACTCAGCTCCACGAAGTACACGTGTCATGCGCACTTCACGCATATCACGTTGACGTACGATGAAAGTTGAGAAGGCGCGCGTGACCACGTCGTGGGTGCGTCCAAGTTGCTATATCCCTCGCACTCAGTGCAAACCGAGTGTTCGGGATCGGCAGGCCGTGAGTGGCACACGGTGAGGGCAGCCTGTCATCGTTCGCATTCGCTCAACTAATACCATGCGGACCGATGACATCAGTCCTCACCGATGAAGCCCAACGGCGCATACCGTATCACGGAGGATAACTGAGTGTAGAATTGATCACGCGTGTCATCAGGATAACATATGTTCGGACAGTAAGTGCTCATAAAAGTGGCAAACCTACCCCTTCCGAGTCGTAGGCGAACAGTCATAAGTCGCGCGCTGATGCCTGTTGGTTCACCCACCAGCTGGCCATTTAGGCGAGCGGATATTGCAAATCCGACCCCATGATCACGTGGTGCTGAGGCGGCGTTCCCCACCCAGTAGAATGTGTAGCCAGCACCTGCTTCATGCAATTTACCTTACTCAGCGAGCCGAGTCTCACCGAGCGCCGCAATATCGATGTTGTAGCGCGCCAGTTCCATCGCGACTAGTGCAGTGCGTAGCTCGGAGTGCTCACTCAAGTTCTGGTCCAGTAGTGTGCGCACGTCCCAGCACCCGATGCTGAGTGCTTTGCGCGCAGGCATACGATTGCATTGGTGGGCAATCGCAGGCGAGGTGGAGGTTGTGCTTTGGAGGTTTGCTTGAGGGACTCCACCCGGAGCCTTTGGCTCAATAGCCTGATACACAAGGATATATATATATATATATATATATATATATATATATATATATATATATATATATATATATAGTGCATGCTGGGTTTCCATAGAAATTTTGGATAATACTGGCATAATTGTCGGAAAATTGCACGGACCTGCCATATCCGGCCGTCTGACTTAGTGGCCACCCAATTCTCCACCGGATAACAAGCCGCGTACTGGACGAGATTACATGAAACATTCGAAAGACAAATGATGTATTTAGGTTTAAAAAGTGCGGAGAATAGGTAACGCAAAACTCACTTGCAAAATGGCCGGTTCTCTAGAGCGAGCCACGTGACCAATTGCATTCGGGCACACGTCCGCCACCCGCCAAAACAAGATCTGCGGACAAAAGATGCATTAGAACACAAAAAGAGACCCATACAATATGAATCCCAAAACAGTGGGGTATTTAATGGGGAGTGAGTTGAGTAAAATGATACGCTGTACAGGAAAAAGCAGTTAGGTCCTAAGGCGGTGACCACATTATGCCGCAGAAATGTATACATCCGTAGGAAAAGGATTGTCTAATATGAAAAGTAGTTTTTGTTACTGATGACGGGTACCCGAGAAACACGATTTAAACCTAGAAGAAGCAGGAAAATACTAAAAGGAGTAGAAAATAGTTGCGATTCAACAGAACTGCTCGAATTGTTTCACCTAAGAGCTGTCGAACAGCGTTGGTGTTAATTAAAATCATGTTAGATGTCAAAACTGAAACCTGCAGAGTCCAGTGAACCGAATAATGAAAATCGGACTCAACCGCAAGAAAGCGAGTACCGAAAATTTGCTTAGTGTAACAAGACAACTCAGACAAACCAGATAATCTGCTACAGTGTATAATGAGATGTCTGACTGCCTGCGTATGCGTCGAACCAAATGTGACCAGAGGCACGTACAAGTATGCACAGAAAAGGTCATGAGTAGAAGTCAAAATTAGTGAGAGCTTATGACAACGTAGGCCGAAGAAGCTGGAATGAAGCAGTCTGGTTTACTCCCCCCCCCCCCGCAACAGCATCAACAATCGAAATCGGTCCCGATCCAACTCCACATGAAAACAGTATAGCTATGCAGTCTGAGTGGTGGTGAGAAAAATGAAAAAATATAAAGCAATTTGTCCGCCATTATCACAATTGTGACATGGTGACCAGTCTAGTATTATTGAGCGAAGGAAAACGTAATTACACTGCATGTGGAGAAAAGCTGCCGTATCAAAACGCTCAACGTTACGTAAAATGAGGTTCTAGATCAAATCACGGCAGTGGCGCAGTGGGACGACACCGATTCGGCGCATACTTTGGAATGCAGCTGTAGTGTACACATTTATGCATACGGTGTTTCGCGACTGCGGGAAAGAATGAGATGAAAGGGCAAACGTTCGGTCAGCCACTTAAGATTGGTTATTTCCAGATAACAGCTACAAGAATAGGTCAATTCAGAACAACTCTTATCGGAACCATAAATATCTATCTTGCTGGATATGACTCAGTTGCACAATGAACCCACAGCCTCTGTGGATGGGTAAGCACCTAGTCTGTGGTCGACACGTTATTGTGTAGCAGAAAAAGGGAAGCAGAAGCATCTGGCGCAGTCCGACACAAGTCGGCGATGAAAGTTTGGCATCGGAGTGTCGCGATTTGCTCGAGACAAAGAGGCAATTCTGCAGAGTGAGGCCAAGATTAGACCATCGCCACAGAAGGCACACCTGATCAAATGCATGCATGTGGTTACACCATAGGACGCACATTTCGAAACGCTGCACAACGAGGTGAACGAAGGTCGCTGATGGACGAAGAAGTGTGGGTGGGTGGGTCACCCGGTCGAAAACAGTGATAACGGATGCAAGCATGATCGCAAATGTATTGGCTAAGGCAAAGAATCCTGCGCCCTGTTTAACTTGCGGCACACAACATCGCGTTGCACGGTAGAATGGGTAACAGTGTGTCCTAAGAAAGCAACATAAGAGTAGAGAGCGCTGAAACAGCAGTGACGGCCGGGGCCGGCCAAGTATGTAAGGCAGATAAGTTGCCGAGAAACCCGAATAAACAGTATCTCGGCGAGAGAAGTCAGTTGAATAGGGAGCCAAGTGGCGCGTACGGATAACAATCCGATTTCATATGAGGAGGCAAAAAACCATAACGTGATGACATGGGTTCGCGACAAAGTATAGCAATTGGGAGCTGCACGAAAGAGGCAACTTTGAGAGAGAAACGACACAACAGCTCAACACTGCATCCAAATGCGTAAGTACAGTCGGTAGCGGGTGCGAAAATAAGAATGTTTCTTAGTTGGACTTGGAGGATGCGCTGTGTGATTGGGTTGCTACAAGCAACATTTGTTGAGATCTCGGTTCACTTGGGCTGGACCTCGGTCATTCCGATCACAAGAACCGTATGTGAAATGGAAATATTTTGTGTTGCTCATCCCAGTGTTGGGATGAGCAACACCAAAATAATTCCAAGAATGTTTCCATTGTCCTAAGGAGCGTTGTAGTCGTGAGCAAACAAAAAGGTTAACTTCCTAGGTCACGAATAAGAGTAACATTAGCTGTTGTCGATTGTGATATATCGCAGCTCACTCCCCACTGCCTCGCGCGTTGCCGTCCTGCCAGAACTGCCTTCTTGAACCTGCTGCACCTTTGGCAACAGAAAGGAGTTTCTTTTCGCCTAAAAGACCGTGTTTACATGGCCACAGTGAGGGCCGTCCTGTGATATGGGAGCGAGACTTCGGTCCTTCGAGCTGATGATCTGAGACGCCTTCAGGTTTTTGATCATTGTTGTCTCCGAAACACTGCTAGTGTCGGATGGCACCAGCGTGTCTGCAACGATGATGTATGTAGGCGTGTGCTAGGCAATGATACCCAAGCTAGTTCCTTAGAACAACAGATAACACTGAATAAGTTGCGTTGGCTCGGGCACGTGCTACGTACGCCTGGTCACCACTTACCGAGGAGAGCCTTGTTGTCTGCCCGATGTAGGATGGCGCAAGGCTCGAGGTGGATAAAAGTTGACTTGGCAACGGGAAATGAAGACACTGACGACCAAACTGGGTACCGTTGGTCCGTCTCGGCATTCAGGCTGGAGTCCATGTGACTCGCCTTGTGTTTGGCTCGAGAGTTTACAGGACATGGCTCGCAGCCGACACCAGTGGCGCGTCTGCTGCTGTCTCCTAGCCGGAATGGTTGTTTAAAGTGTGTTTGGTGCTGAGTTATCTGCGAGGTAATGGCTGATTATGACGCGGGGCAGTGAAAGCCACGAGGAAACTGTCTCGCCGATGCCGGCTTATATTTGCACGATAGCCAGCTGTTTGTGAGGGTATGTTGTCTACACAAGGTGTAGGCGCGGTGACCCTGAATGTTTGCTTAGGGCATTAAAGTTTTCCGGTAAGTCCCCCTTCTCTCGCTTTTATCCTTTATTCCGTAGGTCATCATGGTTGTGTGGCAGCGAAGCATCAGTTCAAATGGCTGATGTACTGCTGATGCTGATGATGATGCCGTCGTGCAGATGCCAAAGGATAAACGGCCAACTAAGCTGTAGCATTATAAACAGTGTGCAGAGCAGTTTGTTAGATAGTAATTTATATGAAAATACGCATTGCTGGAGAGTTCCGAGATGATAAAGCGGTCTTCTAATGCTTTCTGGATGCCGCTGGTTATCTAGACCAGTTTGCAAGTTGCCTTCGCTCAAACATTATAATCCTCGCACTCCTGCCGAATAAACAATGATTATCCAACTTTTCTTGCATCCACTTCGCGGAACTCAGGGCGAAAAGTGCAGAAAAATAAGTTGGAGTTGATAGTGCTGCAGATTTAATTCATGACCGTCTCACTTAGTGAGGCAAAACGCACAAAAAAGTAAGACAGTACAAAATGTGAACCAGAATGAAATTTGCAGTTGGATAGGAATTGACATAAGGCCCGGCATTTGGTGACATGGAGTTGATGCGTCAGTCACAAGCTACTAGCTCGAAGCAAAGCGGATTCGCGCGCTAACAGTGCTCATCACGACGTAGAGACGTAGAATACATGGTTTGCGATGTGGCAAAAAAAGCGGATTATAAACCGTGACAGAAAAATGTTTGTTGAAGCGATTTGAGCGACCGCCTTTAATGCGCTTGGTCGTCCCAGTGAGACACATTTGAGACGAATTTTATTAAATCGGAAACAAATTTTCCAGTGCAGCCTTATTCTTTATCGGGAATACACTTTTGTCCGGTTGCAAGTGCGGTCAACGGTAGACAGAGATCGATTCCCATATCGTAATTACGCAATAATGAAGCTGAAGGGCTATATCGAAAAATTTTTGATTGACTAAAATTAACCATAAATTTCTCACTCGGACGGCCAAGGGCAGGAAAAACGGTCACTCAGTGGCAATCTATCTGTCACTCGCGCTGACTGAAAATACGGGATTGCTAAAAAGTAAAGTTATAGGTAGAGACCGAACGTGCTGATGGTGCATAGTAGAATTTAGCAAAATATGGGGGTATATTTTATAATTGCTCGTTTTCTTTCTGCCAATGCCGTGTGAGTAAAACCCACCCAGCTGTGCGGACACAAGGTTACACAAACTGGAAAGCGAGTTCATTGTAAAACTGTTTCTATTGCGCCAATACATGAAGCACATCGGTGCTGACTATCAAAGATAATCGCTCAAAAGCATTTCTCATTGACTTAAAAAGGGAGTTCAATAAAAGCGGGACAACAATGATGTGCGATGCATAAGCATATGCACAAGCATCCATCCATACATAAAAATGTCATTTTGGTAACTTAGGGATTCAAGTGCAAGAGGAATTTTTATAATTCGCAAAGCCGAACTACTTGCGGGATACCAGTACTGAATTCCAGCAGTCAAGAGTATTCGATATACAGCATTTTCAAAAAGTTGTTCCATAAGGTAATCTCCAGGTCTTTCACGCCCATGGACATGCTGAGGTATCTGCAGCTACCCGTAACAACATTGATTGTACGCAATCAGCAACGGTTGGATAACGTTCTTCCGAATAGGGTAACGAAGTCGACCACATCAGACTGCACAGGTTGGTGCAGCCACCAAAACTCGGCGGTATCAGAGGGAAAGTCAGCCGGCGATTTCTAGGCCCCGGAGTCGACTCGCTGTTCGGTAGATTCGCATGAAACCGGTCACGGAGCGCAGGGCTGCGGACGAGCAACATCCAGCATAGTTTCACATATGGTCCAGCGACAGAGATAGTCGAGATTCGCGCTCCACGTGATAGAGATCACGTGTCACAAGCCATACACACAATGAGCGCCTTAGATGGATTAACAATTACTGTATTTCATGTGGGTTTTTTGATCTGTATCGATATGTTTACATAAA